AGATCAATGAACGGTGCATATGTGAAGTTCCTCATACATTAAACCCAAAATTAACCCCATCCCATCTCTACCACATGTGGCATGATATGTGGCAGAGGGACCCCCCCCCCCCCCCTTGTGTTTGGTCATGGTGCTACCGGAATCGCAGGAATTCTTTTGAGCTATCTGGGGATGTGTTAGGTACTGATAACAATAGTCTCTGGGCTGTATAGGGTATAGGGAGATGGGGGGGGGGGGGGGGAGAGAGAGGGCGCCTTACTGTCTCACATCGTGCCAGGTATAATCACAACCTGAGCCCAATTCCATCATCCCATTATGCCCCAACCCATCATCCCACCACATATCCCCAACCAATTATTATTCCATCCAATTTAAACATCCCACTAACCCATCATCGCATCACATCACCCCACCTTACCATCCCACTCCATCCTGCCCATCCCCCACATCCTACCTCACCTTACCCCACCAAACTCCAGCCATCCTTCCCCCAAATCCATCATACCCCCATTCCACAAGATGTAGGGACAAATGGGGTGACAGTACCGGTATGGTTGTGGGGCAGTCAGTATCTAATAAATGTACTTTATATGGAACATATATTCACATGAATGGTATTCGTTTTGATACAAAAGAACCACCCATGCATGAATGACCCTTTTCCCTTCGATATGTAACCAAAGCAAAATCAATTTTAATAGAGGTTTGATAAAGTTAAGAATGGATGGGACAGTGGTAAAACATGTACAATCAAATGTACATGTGCATCCCAATGTAAAGTTATGTTCTTGTAATTACATTTGTATATCCATGCAAAGTGATGTACAATAACAAAAACCTTAACATTTTTGAATTAACTTTCCTTATTAAAATCATAAAGTTAACTACAAGGAGTGAACTCCAATTTGAGGTTGTCAAGCTGAATTATGATCAGTTCTAAATTTAACTATCAAGAAGCAAAAAAACTTTAACACTTTAATCTGAATGCGGACGGCCGGACAGACGGACGGACGGACGGACGGACGGACGGCCCGACAGACGGGCGCCCGGACAGACGGACGGAAATTGGTATTACATAGGCTCGCATCTGCTTCGCAGCTCGCCAAAAACATTACAAATGAGAGGGAAAGTATCACCACGAGAGGGCAATTCAATTTTTTTCAGATTCGTCTCAGCAAATGTGAAGTCAATGCATGATGTGCTTTCCAAGTATAAGATATAATCCAGCTCCTGTATAAAATGTAAACATTTCCTTAAATTTTGTTATTTGATTTTTCAATTATTGGGAAAATTGTTGAGTTTAAATGAATGCAACTTATTTTTGAATGAAAAAGATTTTGCACCTCCATGTACTCAAAAGCAACTGGATGAAATATGTGTGATTTTGAACTCAAGAGATAGTTTAAAAGTAAATCATATGCAATCCCTTGGTTGTCTCTTTCACAGTGCTTTCTGAGTGCCTCATCAAATTAATATTAGTTTCATTAAATTGACAACCAAGTTGAAAATGAAAACCTTGTGCATTCTACTGCAATGATATATGGATGTTTGTAAATGTGGTTGGCATGATGGATGTACATTTGTAAATTGAAACATTTTTTTTCCTGCCTTTCTCATATGTGATTGTTTACATACTACAATAGAAGATGCATTGGAACATTCTATGAATTTGGGTTCAGTTTTTCCTGTCCCTATACTCTGACATCTACGATTTTGCAATAGAAGATGCAACCCTTTATGTGTGTACTCTTCCTCTAAGAATGCTTCTGTGAATCAAATGACCTACCCAACAAATATTAATAAGTTTGAAGACAATTTTAATGCCACTTGAATAGCAAATGATAAATTTGGAGTTTACAGGGACAGGAAAAATGTCCAACTTTGGACCCTAAATGCATAGAATGACCTACTTGTGAGAGGTTTCCTTATCATTGCAATAATAGTTTAGTTAATTCCATAAATGACTGAGGCTTTTGCTTCTTTGAATAAGTATTGGTTTGCTAAATGCTGATAGACTAAGTAGTCTAAATGAAGCAATGAGCATTTGCTTTAATTACAGAGTATCTCTCCAAGAGAACACTGCAGCTTTAATGTGACAATGGCATTTCAGCAAAGATCCCAAGTCTGTTATTTTACCAATCAGCATCTTGAACTTTCTAAAGGTACCAGCGGCGGCGTAACTAGGTTTAAGCTTCTAGGGGGCACCAGGGGGTTCACCAAGTTTTGAGAGGGCACTGAAAGTAATGTATACAGTGTGTTTCAATAAAAAGGAAACCCAACTTTGAAGAACAAGTATGGACAGACTAAATGTTTACTGGCTATAAAACTGTTATCATCTGAAAGCGTAATTTCTATGCTTTTCAATGATACCTTGTTTACATTTCCAGGGTCATGCATGACTGAGCGCCATTGTCATGAGATTTTGATGCAAAATTGCAGTTGGTTCACTTTCATGTCAAACACAATAGGCATGGGGTGCATGAGAATAAGTATTCAAGAAGTAGACACGAGTGCATAAAGAGAAACCAAAAAACAAGTCGGGATGGTTTCAAAACTAGATTTTATTGTTTGTCATGAATTTCTCCCTTTGACCAAGCCACGTTTAAAACAATGTGCCATTTTCCCGAGGATTGACATTCAAGCCATTTCACAGACATTTTCGTAACAAAAGGCACACCGTGCCCAGTGGGTTTTTCTTGATGAAAGTGAACCAACTGCATTTTTGCATCCAGTTTTCAAGACAACGATGCTCACTGATGCATGACTCAGTAAACCTAAACATAGTTTCATTGAAAAGCATAGAGATTACACTTTCAGATGATACCAGTCTTATAGCCAGTAAACATATCGTCTGTCCATACTCATTCTTTGATGTTGGGTTTCCTTTTTTTTGAAACACCCTGTACATTTTTGTGATTTTTTTGATGCACATCCCCCACAATTACGCCATTGAAAGGTACACAGAAATATGGAATTCTAACATCAAATCAGGTTTAACGGTCCCTTACATATTTACAACAGACACCAGTTACGAATAAACAAAAAAAGGTTTGAATGGAATCAACCCCCTTTAATTGCCTAATGTTGCAGTCCACTCTTTTCTGAGTATTAAAAGGAAATATAAAATGATTTTGTAGGAATAAACCTATAGTCTGAGTACTGATCACCCATTGTATCACCCTCTCTGTCTCTGGCCCAACGTCTGATATATCTACGCATGCACATTTATGCGACCCCGCGCACCAGCCATGAGGTGACATGACATCATTTCATTCGAAATCTGGACCAAGCTGTTGATTGGTCAATTTTGATGTCATGTTTTTGCAATACAACAACGGGCATAGAGATCTAATAAAACCTGACATTGGCTTTCAAAACTGTTAGCATACAGGAACGCTCACCGTAGGTGAAACGCGAATGCACAAGAGGGCATTGTCATTATGCCTGTAATTTAAAATAATACATGATGATAAATCAAAGTCACAGGATGTTCGCACGTCACGCAACATATCGATACAGCCCCACAATTCAAAACCATGGATGTTGTGTCTAGGTTTAACAAGATGTATATGACAACAGGTTACCAAAGACCCGATATAGAAGGCGCCTGCTGAATGGTCAGAATCTCGAGGTCAAGACGCAGTATTGTTTTGAATTAAATAATTGCCAAATCTGCTCGGGTATCATAGACCCTTGCTGTACAAGGGGATATTCCATAGACTACCTTAGCCCCCATCCCCCTACAATTAAGAACAATTCACAATGCAGTGTGAGTGTGCCAACAAGTGTTTGCCTCAAGAGGCCACTTTTCCACTTAATTGTCTATTCATTAATACCTCAGACAGTTTAGTTATTCCTATTGGTCGAGAGCCCGTCACATGGCCGGTCTTCAACGGATGATAAAGACATGGCTAGCTGGTCTTAAACACTTTTCCAGTGTCACATAAAATGTGGACTCCTAAAATTCCAGTGCCTCTTACCATTTCATTGGTTTAATGTTCACAATCCTCACGTAGGTGTGCGCAACACTACCAGCAAGTCAGAATTTTGTTGTTCTAAATTCAAAACGCAACGTCCCAGGTGCGTTCTGCGCGACATCGGGCAGAACATGCTACACGCGCGTCAATCTCCATAAAAGGGTTGTTTACATCTCACTCGCCAGCTGAACACTCCATTATTTTGCTACATGTATCAGGATGTTTCAAAAAGCATGTAGTGAACTTGTTGAACAAACCGGGATTTTTTAAACGAATTATTTGATTTTTTTTACCGAAAAGGTATTTATGAATGGGAATAAATGTGTGCTTGGTCGGTATTTATCACTCTGTTTAAGATTGCTTAGAGTCTGGGTGCTGATAATTACCCTCGCCTCCGGCTTGGGAAATTATCAGCACCCAGACTCTTAGCGGTCCTAAATAGAGTGATAAAAACTTCCGGAGCACACATTTATTCCCTTATTTAAAGGGAAAATACATGTACAACATTTGCAAACATCGAAAAATAAAACTACCAAGTTTTACAAAATACCTTACTAGGATGTTGGTAAATGACAGTCTGAAACATTCTGTAAAATTATGGCACCTGGTGTGAAGTCATTTTCAAAAAAATTGTATTTTTGTATGCATTTCCAACGGTCCAAGTCCAAATTGTGTTTGCTATTGGTTACATGTTCATGAACGGGTGCAGGTCAGCTAGACTTGTTCCCTTACCTTACAATTTTTCGGCATCTATAAATTGATCCATTTCACTTTTAGTGGAGCCAGGGAACCAGACTACTTGAACATTTTTGTTTTTCTTGGTTTTTCAAGCATTTTCGGACACAAAACTTCAAACATGTCAGTGTAACAATTTTTTGTTCTATTATACTACCCCTCAACTAGTTCATTTCTGAAAATTACAGCGAAAGCCAATGATGTACATTCCCTTTAAAAGAATACTAACTTCTACAAAATGAACTTACCCGTACATAGAAGTACATTGGAGAATCTGTTCTTGTTTTCGCAGACAGGTTTCTTGGCTTCCTCACAGTTGACTGCCACTGACATTTCATATAGCACCTACATTTCAAAGTGAACAAATTGACAGACAACATTTCATTACATTGCTTTTTCTCTCTCTAGCTCCGACTTCAATTACAAATCAAATTATCTTTGGCTGACTTAATCGTTTGCATTACATGTCGTATGTACACGTCGTACACACAACTTCCATGTCGTACGTATGACTTACATGTCGTACAATGAGTTAAAATTCATATTGTACCTTGTATATTTTATGTTGTATATTGCACGGATATCTCTTGCGTACGAGTGAAAATTCTTGTGCCATACGTACATGTACATTTATGTCATATGTACGACTAGGCTATATCTTGTATATGTACAACATTATGAATATTAACTCATACCTAAGACTTGTATGTCGTATGTCATACGTACGACTTACATGTCGCACAATTACGTATGACTTTTATGTCGTACGGCGACTTATATCTCATGTGTTCAACGAGTTACAATTTTGAACGTATGCCATTTATGTACGTCCAACGTACGACTAATATCCCATGCGTACAATGTTCAAATTGACATGTACGTACAAAATTTACAACAGTGCAGATACGTACAACAGTGCAGAAACGGTGGCGTATATGCGTGCTTTGCACTGACAATAAATGTCAGCGGATGAGCTGTTGTGTCTTGAACTGTACAATTCACAATAACTTGAAAATAGCATCATTATTGTTAACAATTATTCATTCACATGCCAGCATATTTCATTTGTGTTTTGGACAAACTGGAGAAATAATTTTAAACTGGGATAAATGTGGACACATTTTTTTCAAATCCTGGTTTTTATTTTCTTTATTAAAGTACTAATTACGCTTTTTTAGGACCTTTTTTTAATTTGTAAAATCTGGGTTCATAACATGGTTGCCCAATTCATATTTCATGTCATCGGGACTTTCCATGAATTTTATGAGTTTTATTTTGTGAACATCAATGATTTACTTCAACATACAAAATGAACGGAACATTTTCGTTTGTTGTCTGTTTCGAATTGCCGCAGCATAATAACCTAGTACACATGTGCGAAATCAGAACTAAGTGGTGCACAATGGCATGGGAGTGAACATACGTGATGTTAGTGTGCAGTCATGTTAATGTTAAATTCCTGGTTCACTGGCTGTTTTGGCTTATATCTGAGTATAAGCTGTAAATCGTCACCGTTTCCATTAAGGGACAAATTTCATGAAAAACTGTCTGTTTATCAATTTTTGTTCAACATCCACAACCTGGTGAGGTTATCAAAAAATTAATAGGAATTCCAATGAACCTAATTAAGGAAGGGGCACATTTTTCTCAAGTGCCGTTTTGCGTTTTCAAAAAGGGGTAAATTTCCGTAAAAATGGGTCACAGAGTGCAGAGACAACAAATGATGCGAAACCAGTCTATGAAATACCGGTTGTAATGTCACCAACAGCACAGTTAGACAAAACAATACATGTTTTGAGCAAAATTGCAATAAATTCACCTATTTAGCGAGCAGAAATACTATCGCCCTGCATATAACTCCCTGCATACTTCCCGAAACTGCCAGGAGCACTCCATAGTATAAATGAATTTTCAGTAAATTAACCCTTACTCTCTGAGGGTAGTTTACTGCATGTCAGTTGTGTATGACAATGCCCTCCAGCTGCAGTTTATTGGCAGATAGTTTGTCTTAACAGTGAAGGCTCCAATTGGCAGGAGTTGGAGGCCCTGGAGGGTGCCTGATACTGACCAGCTGGGGGCACTCACTTTGTTATCAGAGGACTCTCATTGTTCTCTGTGGTATGTATTGGAGTGCCTGTCCAGTTACCCTTGAAATGACATGGCAGATATTGGAGGGCCGTGCAAAAAACATATGCCATTTTCTTAAGGCACATAATGGCATGCGTTGGAGGGTCCAGTTGGGTAAGGGTTAATTAATACATTGTAATACAATGAAGGGTTGTCACGAAGGGGCCAATTTCAGGCGCTTGCAATGAAGCGTTTTCACGGAAAATCTGCACGTCGTGTACACAAAATGAATTATGACTCTGAGAGCAGTGGCCTGAAATCTGCGCATACTGACTTTAGCGTTTTCATGAAGGGGCAAATTTCACAGCCACAATTTGCTAAGGGGTCGTTCTTTTTCATTTTCATGAACAGTCACTTGTATTAATTGATTAATTCTGCAAAACTAATCACCTATCTCTGCTACATAAAGGAGAATTAGAATCTCTGCTTTCCTCTGATACCTAAATCTTGCATATTCTATGCATCTCTACGTTTCAAATTGTTAAATGAAAAAAGGACCAACTCTAAATGCGATTTTCTCGGAAGTTTTTTCAGACAGCGTAGACTAACAGTGACAAAATGAGCGATAAGCCTTGATAAAGCTTTGAAATGAGACAAGTCATCTTCACATGTGTCTATGTTGAAAAATACGAATGGGTGAAGTTTCAAAAATGAATAATTCTATAAATCCAATTTCAAAGGTCTGGTTGAATAGAAACTAACCTAAAGTCTGAACGTTCCTGAGAAAATAAAAATAAAATGGTGTTTACATCGGACGGGGCGGACAGATTGTGGCATACATATTATACGTATTTCCAGCCATAATTTGATTATGATGCAATCATTACATGATCATGAAAATTTGTGACATTTTTGTGTAAATGTCTATGAGCTAACAAGTCTATTGACAAAAGGAATTTAGATTTTAGAAAGTTGTGTTCCTGAGATATGGCGATAATCTCCTAAAAAATCCATAGAATCAAACAATCATCATCGTGACATCATCGTGATGTCTGAGAATGAGAGATTGTACAAGAAACAGCCAGCTGCGGCCACACTAGTGGGCCTTTGTATCATTTAAATTTCGGTATTGGAGTTTATATTTCTGTGGAATTGCCCATAACTGTTTGGTTTAGAGTATTAAATAAACCAAGGTTTCACTCACCTATATTTTTATTCACATGTAGACTGCATGCAGATTTTTCTCAAGTCAAGCAGCAAACCTCCAAATTGTCACAAAAGTCTAAACTCGATCTTTGCAGTTCATTTAAATTCAAGTTCATGATGAAATGAACCCGTGGCAAGCAAACTCATGGGGCAACTAAGTTCCAGTTCAAGTGACCAGTCAAAACTCAGTTCATTGGTTTTCCCGTGCATCACTTGATTTGCTGAATTGAAGTGCGGTCTCAGCAGGCTCGTCATGCAGACTCCGCTGGGCCTGCTGTCCCGGGAGGAAGCCGTGCCGATTCGGTGGTCGGTGGTGAGGCCACTCTTTACCCGGAGTTAATCCTTTCGAGACTAGTTTTTGTAAATTGTAGCTCACAACAATTTACACTCGCCAAGCTGGTGCAGAAGACTCACCCAGCACTCAGTAAGTTGCTGAAAAGGATGTAAAGATGTAGCTAGCTGCAGAGAAGTAGAAGTTTGAAGCACAAAGTAAATATGTCCTCGGCGGCGGCCTGACGGAGGTACAGAAAAAGGCCAGACTGCGTGAAGTCCCAGCCAGAGTACAGCGGCGTGTTTGCACGTACATCGTGGTAGTCTGGTTCCCAGGCCAGAATATTCTGACTATTTCTTTGAGTTCTATTTCTGATTATTTGTTTATTGTTGATCGAAGTATTTACACGACTTTCATTTGTACTTTGCAAAAACTTCGACTCCTTTCAATAGCGCCCCCTGTGCGCATTTCGGCATAATTTTGTTGATATAAAGCGCCACGTGTAAATTGAGTAATTCAAATTACAGGCAACAGCGTCCCCTTTCCCTTAATTGGATTTTGTTTTTAGATATAGCGCCCTCTAACGATCTGAAGCGGTGGCCAAAAAAAACCCAATGTGGCGCCCGCTATCTATTGTGCACAATGAACTTTGCTGACAAGAAGTGAATATTTAATAATTATAAAGATCATGGAAAAAAAACAAAACACTGTGGAGTGATTATAATTTTTAATAATTGGATGAGGTTTTTTTTATATTTCAAATAAATAAGGCTCAATTTTGCATACTGCTGATGTATTTCAGAGAGAAAAACAAGATCGTTTCTATAGATATGTTTGCCTTATTTTAACACTATTGAACATCTAGTCAATCTCAAAGGTGGAGTTCAAAGACTCATTTATTCTGATTCATCTTTGCATATCACAACAAAGAACAGATAACAAACAAACTGAACATAATTAACAAAGTAAAGCAAAAAAAAACAACCCCCGTAAACCAAATGTGACATGCCATTTCATACGTCCTCTTGCCTAGCGCCCTCGCTTGATTTTATTATGTATTCCTCTAGAGCCCCCAGCCAAGCCAACATTCCTTAGGACCCCCCACTTGTCCACTAGTTCTGATTACCTCATTCCCACCATAGAGCCTGGACAGTGAACAGCTCTGTGGACCGCTCAGCTACATGTATTGTTTCCATAATTGACTCAAGATCAGAGTTTTATGTATTCCTCCCATTGAGGATTGCAAGAAGCTAGGCTAGGGTGAGTGTCTATTTTATTTTGTGTTCTTTAAGAATTCCAGAAGTCATGTTTAATGGTTTAATTATTATCAAGTTACATGTATCTACTTTCTCACTGATGCTTTCTTCAGAGGTTAGAAGTTGTTTTAGTCATACATTATCTACTACTAGTTCTCTTAGAAATGTATAGAATTGCTTTTCCTATCATTTATTATTATTTGTTATTTTCTGATTGATAGTTTTGCTGAGAAATAAGTATCTTTAGTTCCCTTTTTGTTTGACTTAGTTTAGTGGCCAAACTTTCCCATGCTTTGCAGTGGATTGCCACCTGTTAAACATCACCACTGTGGAATGTTGCTTGCCTCTCTGGCCAGAGTAGAAATCCCCTTAGGCCTTATGCTGAGTGTAATGCTAGTGGTTAGGAAGTGAACATATCGATAGTCCCTATTGCTACACAGCATTGTTTTATCGATAGTGCCTCCAGTGTACTGTGGTTTATGTTGAGTCTGCTCAAGCAATTGATATGTGATCACTGCAACATTGCCTGGCACTAGATGGACCACTGTTTATAAACTGCCCCTGATAAGAGTGTACAGGTTTTCCTATGTTTTGTCAGAGTAAAGCTAATTATGTATTCGCTCTGTTCTGGAAAAGTACATGTACTAGCAAGTTTTTGTTTTTCTTTATTCAAGTACCAGACTGTTTAGCCTTGGATAGACGCTTTAGTTTTATGATTTACTTTTTAGTATTTACTCCTCTTATTTCTTAGGTTTGATACAAAACATTTAGAGTTTATTATTCTTAGTTTGTTTTGATTAAGATTTCACTCACTTACTAATATATTCTTTGACTCAGTACAGAACCATTTTATGCAGTTTAGCTGAGGTTGTGTTGTATACTTTTAAGAGTTTTAAGACTAAAGCAATCACTTGCCTTGTTCATTCTTTGGACCAACATAACTTAACTTTCTGTTGACAGTTAACAGCATATTCTTCCTAGTTAGAGTTTAAGTTTCTTTCTTTATATTATTATGCATTTTCTTATTTGTGAATTCTTTGTTCTTTCTCACGAAGCAATGTATTTACAAAGAATTGTATTTTATATCTTTTCAGGGTTTTTATATGCAGACACCATATTAAAGAACACACCAGTCAGAGTATGCTTGTCTCCATTGCATGATTTCTGACGGTCACATTTGGCGTCGTAGACAGGATATGTGTGTTGACAACTGCAGCCCCTAGCCTAGGAGGAGTTTTTTTTTCTCGCCTAGTCCTACCACTGACCTACAATGGAGGGGACCGACGCTCTAGAGAAGCTGCAAGCAGAGCTCGAGGCCGTAAAGAAGGCGCTACAAAAGCAGCAAGAAGAGAAATCTAACGTTGCAAGTAGCAGCTCCTCTGGTTGGGTAGCAGCTCCAACGCAACAAAAGCAGATTTATGTTGCGTCAGGACGAAGGTTGGAACGCTTCAGAGGAATTCCAGAGAAGTCCAGTGACCCTACCATTGAAGAGTGGGTGAGCGACGTGAGGTGTCAGTTAGCAGCAAGACAGCTGAAAGAGGACGAGAGTGGAGCTTTCATCCTCGATCATCTTGCTGGAAAGGCACGCCAGGAGATTCTTGGAAGGGGTGATGCAGTCACCCACCCAGAGGAAATCTTCCAAATCCTGCTTAAGGTTTTTGGCGATGGTGATACCCTTCCCCAACTTCAGCAGAGGTTTTTCTCGTACAAACAGGCATCCAACGAGGACCTCCTGACATGCTCCCTGGAGCTAGTCAAGCTTTTCACCAGAATGTCAAAGCTTGACCCTTCAATCGAGGCAACGAAGGGAAGGACCCTGAAGGGACGGCTGGCAGAGGCAGTTCGTGATGAAGGTCTACAGCGAGAACTGCGTCGGCTTAATATTGAGGCACCTACCCTGTCGTTCTTTGATGTCAGAGACCGCGCCATTGAGTGGCTGGGTTGCAGACAAGGCAATCGCCACAAGGAAGCGACGGTGCAAGAGGTCAAGGCAGCGGATGACGCTGGAGGTCTGCAGTCCCTCCTCAGGAAGCAGAGCGAACAACTGCAGAAACAGCAACAACAGATAGATGCCCTCATTAAGGCATTCAGTGAGACTCCAAAGAGCTGGAGAAACCAAGGCCCCCGAAGGTGCTTCAACTGCCGTTCAACAGGGCACCTTAGGCGCCAATGCCCCTATCCACCACAGTCCCCGGTGGGTGGCTCTTCTTCAGCCAGGCAACAGTTTGTTCCTGAGCAGTCTGCCAATCAGCAGAGCATGTACAACCCCCGTGCACAGCAATTTGTTTCTGAGCAGTTTGCCAATCAGCAGAGCGTGTACAAACCCCCTGCACAGCAATTTGTCACCGAGCAGTCCGCCAATCAGCAACTTGGACCCCAGCAGCCAAACCCCCAGATGCCGACCCCCAGACAGCCATTAAACTAGCAAGGCCTGCCATTATGAGCCAAACGACAGGCCATCAGATTTCATCAAGAGAGAGTGGCTCAATTATTGAGAGGGCAGTAGGGAACTGTCCAGTGGCACGTGTGAAGATTGGAGGCACAGAGGTGACATGTCTACTTGACACAGGAGCACAGGTTTCGACATTGACTGAGTCTTTCTTCAAAGAGAACTTCTCCCAGGAAGACTTAATCGACATACATTCCCTGCTCCACATCTCAGGTGCCCAGGGTGCCGAAATCCCCTACGTAGGATACGTTGAGCTGCCCCTTCGAGCATTGGGTCAGACCTTTGTCCAAGCAGGTTTCTTGATCGTAAAGGATCCGGTGAGCACACCAATGGCTGAGCGTAAACAACAAGTACCTGGAGTAATTGGATCGAACATCTTCAGGGACATGAGGCAAATTCTTCAGAAGGTCATTGGACCAGGGTTCCTCCAAAGCTTGAGTAGCAGTTCCGGAGGAGCAGAGTGGGCTCACGTCCTTGCCCTGTATGAGGAGGTGAGGAGTGCAGCACTGCAGCCAGACGTCCCAGGAAATGTTCGTATTAGCGGGCAGAAGCCCATTTTAGTGCCTGCCAACTCTCTGCTCGTCGTCACATGTTCAGTTAAGCCTACATCTGGCAATACTTATCAAGCTATGGTAGAACAGTTAGATGTTCACACCAAGCATCTTCCGCAGGGTTTGATGGTCGCCCCAGCTCTTGTCAGTGTTGATGAGAGTGGCACAATTCCTGTACAAGTAGCCAATTTCAACGAAGATGATGTCTACTTACAACCTAGAACCCCAGTTGCCGTAATCTCTAAAGCTTACCCCGAGTATGGCACCTCCCACATCCTTGCATCCCAATCTGAAGTCCATGTGCAGCATGAATCAGCAAACAATGACATTTCATCCCAGCTGATGGCAAGGATTAATGTGGGTGATGACATCGATGACAAGCAACGGCAAGATTTGAGAGAGTTAATCAACAGATATAGCGAGGTCTTCAGTGAGGATGATGATGATATTGGGTACTGCGGTAAAATTGAGCACCGGATCATCACCACTGATGACATACCAGTCAAGGTCCCACACAGACGCATCCCTCCCCACCTATGGCCCGAAGTGAGAGACCACATCGAAGCATCCCTGAATCGGGGCATCATACGAGAGTCCTCAAGTCCATATGCCTCGCCTGTGGTCCTTGTCCGGAAACATGATGGTAAGCTGAGGATGTGTGTTGACTACAGAGCACTCAATGCAAAGACACATAAGGATGCGTACCCGCTTCCAAGAATCGATGAAGCGCTTGATGCACTTAACGGAGCCAAGTACTTCTGTAGTCTGGACCTGGCTCATGGCTTTTACCAAATTCCAGTCGAAGAGAGAGACATCAAAAAGACAGCGTTTCGTGTTGGCACAGGTGGTTTATACGAGTTCACACGTATGCCATTTGGCCTATGCAATGCTCCCGCCACCTTCATGCGCGTTATGGACAAGGCCTTCGGTGATAAGAACTTCCAGTCCCTCATAGTTTACCTTGATGATATCCTAGTGTTTGGCCAAACCTTCGAGGAGACCTTAGGACGGCTACAGATGGTCCTTCACAGACTTCAACAGTTTGGCTTGAAGGTAAAGCCAGAGAAGTGCCATTGGTTTGCAGCAAAGCTTCGGTACCTGGGACATGAAATCTCAGCAGATGGCATTTCACCAGACCCAGAGAAAGTCAGAGCTGTCACCGAATGGAAGCGGCCGTCAACAGAAGGAGAGCTCCGAAGTTTTCTTGGCCTGGCAAGCTATTATCGTCGCTTTGTCCCTGGGTTTGCTAAGGTGGCGGCTCCACTCCATGCCCTGCTAGGTGGCACCGTGAAGAAGAAAGGCAAGAGGAAAGCATCTACAGCTGTGTTAATATCTGACGCTTGGGGTGAGACATGCGAGACGTCCTTCAAACAGCTTAAAGAACTCCTGACAAGTTCTCCACTATTGGGTTACCCGAACTTTGTACGTCCATTCATTTTGGAAGTGGATGCCAGCCACCACGGTCTTGGCGCAGTTCTTTCACAAGAACAGGAGAAGGGTCGTGTAGTCCTTGGATACGCAAGTAGAGGCCTCAGAGGAAGTGAGAAAAACATGGACAATTACAGTAGCATGAAGCTGGAGCTACTGGCATTGAGATGGGCCATCACGGTGAAGTTCCGTGACCTTCTGCTGGGAGCCGATTTTGTTGTTTATACCGACAACAATCCCCTCAGCTATCTTCAGTCTAATTCCAAGTTGGGCGCTACCGAAACACGATGGGCTGCTGAACTAGCACAGTTCAGATTCACAATCAAGTACAGGTCTGGACGCAGTAACCAAAATGCAGATGCCCTGAGCAGAAAGGTTACACACAGCAAAGAGCCACTGACTGCACGGTTTGAGGAGACTACTGCCGACACAGCACCTCACCTCAAACCCTGCACAACAAATGTTCCTAATGACTTAAAAGCAGCCATACAGAACACCATCACTGAAGTTGGTTTGAATGAAGTCCGCAGCAGCGCAGATGTAGCCCCGCTCACAGCAATGTCCACAATCCCATCTATCCCTAGTGAGGACATGGCAGCAATGCAGAGGGCAGATGATGACATCAGTCGACTATGGCACTACTGGGAGCGGAAGCAGAAGCCCTCCCTCCGTCAATTGATGAAAGAGACACGTACTACTCGTAAACTGCTTCGTCTGTGGGACCATCTTACAGAACAGAACAACGTACTGTATAAGCAGAAGGTTGAGAATGGTTCAACGGTACGCCAGCTTCTCCTTCCTAGTGCCCTCAGACAAAAGGTGCTTCAAGCTCTTCATGACGAGGCTGGACACCAAGGTGTAGAGAGGACAACAAAGCTCGCCCAGTCTCGGTGCTACTGGCCTGGAATGTCCACGGACATTGAGACCCACTGCAGGCATTGTCAAAGATGCACTTTGGCGAAAGCTGGTAGGAAACTTCACCCAACTATGGGGTCGCTCATTGCAAAGAAGCCGCTGGAAGTCCTAGCTATGGACTTTACAGTCCTCGAACCAGGCACAAACAACATCGAGAATGTTCTGGTGCTGACAGATGTGTTTACCAAGTTCACGCAAGCAGTACCTTGCAGGGATCAGAAAGCGAAGACGGTTGCCCGTGTCCTTGTTCGAGAATGGTTTGTTCGCTATGGTGTGCCACGGCGACTGCACAGCGACCAAGGACGGAGCTTCGAGGGCAGAGTTATCCAAGAACTCTGTGAAATGTACGGAATTTCTAAGTCACGGACAACACCGTATCACCCAGAGGGCAACGGCCAATGTGAGAGATTCAACCGTACTCTCCATGACCGGTTGAGGACCCTTCCCCCTGCACACAAACGACGATGGCCAGAGTTCCTGCCTGAACTCCTGTATGCCTATAACACCACACCGCACTCATCAACAGGTTTCTCACCGCATTACCTCTTCTTCGGTCGAGAGCCTCGACTGCCGATAGACCATCTCCTTGGTGTGCAGAATGATAGCACTGAAGCCGACGACCATGACAATTGGGTCTCAGAGCATCGCAAGAAAATGCGGATGGCATATGACATGGCCTTGGAGAAGATGGAGAAAGAGGCAGCAAGGAGAAAGGCAAGGCATGACCAGAATGCCGACGACACCGACCTACCGATGGGAGCAACGGTCTTCCTCCGAAACCGTGACATGAGGGGACGCCACAAGATTAGTGATGTGTGGGGATCCATTCCTTACAAGGTGGTGGGTAGGCCTAACCCAACTGGGCATGTCTATATGGTTGCTGCACTTGATGGAGATGGGGAAAAGACGTTGAATAGGAGAGATCTGCTCGAGGCACAGGCTTGGGCTGTGCAGGATGTTGTGCAAGATGCTGCACAAGATGTAGCCCCACAGCGTGATAGGCCATTGCGTCCTGTCATCGACACCCCAACGTCATCTGAAGAGTCTGATGATGACGATGTACTTATTTACACGGAGAGTCGAGAAGAGACAACAGAGCCCATGGTGGAAGCTACTGGTCCGGAAAAAGCAGGGGAGCACCCAGTCACACCAGCAGATCCCAAAGTAGATGCTTCAGATGAGTGCCTACCAGTTCAATCATCTTGTGCCACAGTGAGTCCGTTGGTAGAAGCAACAGTCACGTTACCAGCTGAACCAGTTATGGAAGAGCCTGAACCTGTTCTGCCAAGACGTTCTACCCGTTCCACAGCCGGACAACATTCTAATCCCCACCGTGAGCCGAAGGCAGCTGTTCAGTCCGAAATACCCGTCCAGATGCCACCAGCAGCCCCATTGATTGACCCTCAAGTACTGGCAGAGATGTCGAAGGCCCAACTGCTACTGGCACAGATGCTGGCTGGAGTTACAAAGAGCACTGTCTGATGTGATATTTCCATTACCACATGTATACTTTAGTTATTATTTTACTGTATAAGATTAGTTATAGCGTATTTACTTATTATTTTCTTTTGAGTTGTCGGGACGCCAACTTTAAAGCAGGGGAGTATGTGACATGCCATTTCATACGTCCTCTTGCCTAGCGCCCTCGCTTGATTTTATTATGTATTCCTCTAGAGCCCCCAGCCAAGCCAACATTCCTTAGGACCCCCCACTTGTCCACTAGTTCTGATTACCTCATTCCCACCATAGAGCCTGGACAGTGAACAGCTCTGTGGACCGCTCAGCTACATGTATTGTTTCCATAATTGACTCAAGATCAGAGTTTTATGTATTCCTCCCATTGAGGATTGCAAGAAGCTAGGCTAGGGTGAGTGTCTATTTTATTTTGTGTTCTTTAAGAATTCCAGAAGTCATGTTTAATGGTTTAATTATTATCAAGTTACATGTATCTACTTTCTCACTGATGCTTTCTTCAGAGGTTAGAAGTTGTTTTAGTCATACATTATCTACTACTAGTTCTCTTAGAAATGTATAGAATTGCTTTTCCTATCATTTATTATTATTTGTTATTTTCTGATTGATAGTTTTGCTGAGAAATAAGTATCTTTAGTTCCCTTTTTGTTTGACTTAGTTTAGTGGCCAAACTTTCCCATGCTTTGCAGTGGATTGCCACCTGTTAAACATCACCACTGTGGAATGTTGCTTGCCTCTCTGGCCTGAGTAGAAATCCCCTTAGGCCTTATGCTGAGTGTAATGCTAGTGGTTAGGAAGTGAACATATCGATAGTCCCTATTGCTACACAGCATTGTTTTATCGATAGTGCCTCCAGTGTACTGT